GTCTTCAGCAAATGGAGCCAGCCTCAGATGTCTCACAGTAATGTGGAAAGATCACTTCTGCTCCCTGGTGGTGGCAGAGAGAACTACGTCAGTGTTTGTCTGTGCCCCCTGGTGGCGAAAACTGGAAAGTGCTTGAACATTTTTGTAACCCAACTCTTGGCAGCATTTCATTATTTTCTGTGTAAAACACTCACTGTCTCTGACTCTGATATGCAGAGCATTCTATCTAGTTCGAGAGCTGCAAGGTATCCACAGCTGAAACATAAGCTGACTATCTTAAAGGGTTGCTGCTTTAGCCTGCAGCAGAATTGGAAGCATTTGAAAGAGTGTGTTGTAACTATCAGCCCTGACCAGAGGTGTGTAAGCGCTTCAGAGGAGAAGGAGAGGAGAATGAACATATAAGGGCTGTGAAAACAAACAAAGGCGATGCAAAGTATGCCGCAGGGGCCTGTACAAAGATCTAAATGAAGGCTAGAAAAGAATATAAAGGCAACACAGGTACACAACACAATATGTGAATCAGTGTATTTATCACAAAATAGTTTCTGGAATATGAACATAAGAGCTAGATTTCTTCCGGAGTGTGTGTATTCATGTGTGCATGTGTGTATGTGGCTGGCCCAGATGACACAGAGGTTGATGGACAGTAGTGCTGCGTCTCCTCCTCCCGCTGACAGGCCCTCCTTCACCCAGGACAGGCCAATCTGTACACACAGTGACACAGACACACAGAGCCCATCTCAGTCACCACACAGCCCATTTGTCATGTCAAATAGTCTCACAGAGACATGGCGGTCAAGTTATAGAGGTGATTGTATCAAAGTGACCCCAATGCGATGGTCATAAATTGCTTGCTTTATGGTGACGTACTATAATCCTTGGTCCATTGATGGAATTGAAAACAATGAAAGGTCATAGTCACCTGATAAGTAAAATGTGAAAACATTTTTCATGAAGCTTATTAATAATATAGAAAAACACAGCTTTCAGGTAATCATATTTCTTACCTTGAGAGGAGTTAAGGATGAGGTGTAGATATGGCACTCAGCTGGAACTCTCCGTTTTTTCAACCCCGTCTTTCTCCGTTGTTCCATTGGTTTCCTCTGTAGACGCCTCCTTGGTGGAAGTGGCTGTCTTCGGCCTCTCCTCTGGCTTCTCAGAAGGGTCCACCACCGTGGTGCCCCGGCTTGTGTTGCAACCCATAATTTGACGAAATCTAGGAGTTTACAGTGCCCTGTTGAGCTGATGGGAGTCCAGAGGTGTGTAGAGTGTAAAAACACTAGTCGTAACCTTAAGACCTATTTAAGTGTTGTGGGCTCAGGTGCCTTTGTTCTCTATGGCAACCTCGAGACTTCCTGTCGGGTTTGGGCACCTGACTGTGTGTTGGTTTTATTTTACGAGCCTTTGTCTGCCGGCTGCACTGCCTCTTTGTAATTACCTCCTAAGCAACATTGGTTGAGAATTAACTCAGTAGCATGCCAAAACATGGTTACTGATAAACACAGAAAGGGATTGTGTGTCAATCACAGGGCAGCCATGGTTACCAACAATGGATGTGCTGGGAGTTTCTGCTCACATTCAGTCAGAGGAATTTATGAATTTTATTATCACCAGTCAGCTAATGTTGGAGCACATCCTTAATTACTGGTCTACAGGGTCTGAGGAAACAAAAACTGTAGGTCAGTAGTTTGGTAGATACACAGCTCTGTTTGACAGTGGAGGTGAAGACAGAGAAATGAAAACCAGTGATGTTTATTAAAATATTACAGCAGTGAGTCCCTTTGCTGTTTGGTCATTAGGTAATGCTTCTGTGCTAGGCAGAAACAGATTTCATGGTTGCTTCTCATTAGCTTTATAAAAAGGGATAAAGAGCAGAGTGTAAACCAGTATATACAATTTAATGTGGACATTCAACCGAATCCAAACAGTCTCTGCTGGTAATATCTGTAAAAAATCTTGTTTAAGAATAAAGAGAATGATTTAATGAATAGGAATGTTGTAAAGAGACACAAGATACACTGTCAGTAAATTTAAGTTTATTGTGAAATGTGTCTTTGTTTAATACCAGGGCTTGACGCAAACTTTTTTCCCAAGGAGCATATGTGCTCCTAAGTTGAAAAAGTAAGGAGCGCACAAAGAACTTTAGGGGCACAATGTAAATTGATCAAATAATGTGTTTTCCGTAATAAACGTGATGCAAGTAGACATTTACAAGCAAAATTATTTAATGAATTTGTATACAAAATGTGCAGAAAGGTAAAATCATTAAGTTTTGAAAAAGTATTTCAATTTAATTTTGTCTTTAATGTTATTATCTTATATATATTATCTTTGCAATATGATTATCTTATATAATGTTATTACTATCCTAAAACATTCTCCAGGTCCTCTGAAACTCTGCAGGATTATTTCCACCCTGCCCAGCAGCGGTACCGTGGCGACAGTCCCTAACTGCGGGGAGAACGGAACAGGCCTCCCCGGAGGTCCGCCGCTTTTCCCGGTCCGTCTCCTCCACACTTTGACTTATTTCCACGCTGCCGACAGTGGGACTTAACGGCTATGGCAAGCCGTTTTAACATTTAATCACTAAGTCCGACTATCCGGAATTACCATTATAGATATCTATAACGTCATTTTGACTAGTAGTAATGTCATTGTAACTAGTATGAATTTTAATTTAAGATATATGTAAAGTCATTCTGACTAGTCAAAACTGAATTACAGATATCTGTAACGTCATTTTGACTAGTCAAAACTGAATTACAGATATCTATGACGTCGTTCTGACTAGTCAAAACTGAATTACAGATATCTATGACGTCATTCTGACTAGTCAAAACTACAGTTACAGATATCTGTAATTCAGTTTTGACTAGTAAGATTCAAACTATTTTTGCCATTCATGTGTATGGGGTTTGTCATTATAGATATCTACAATTACATTATGACTATCTATAATTCCAGTTTGAGATATCTACAACGTCATTTTGACTAGTCATAATTCAGATTCAAGATATCTACAACGTCATTCTGACTATCTGAAACTCAATCCAAGATATCTAGAAAGGACCATGTAGATATCTTCAGTTGATGATAAAGATATCTTGAACTTGAATTATGACTAGTCAAAATTAAATTGCAGATATCTCAAACTGGAATTACAGATATCTACAATTCAGTTGTAGATATCCGCAATAAGAACTGCAGATATCCGCGACTACATTGGAGATATCTATAATGACAAACCCCATACACATGAATGGCAAAAATAGTTTGAATCTTACTAGTCAAAAGTGAATTACAGATATCAGTAATTAGAGTTTTGACTAGGTAAAATCTAATTACAGATATCTTGAATAAGAGTTTTGACTAGGCAAAATTATGTTGCAGATATCAGTAATGAATATCCAGTCTAGCGATTAAATGTTAAAACGGCTTGCCATATAACGGCCGGGCTCCACCAGCTGCAAACGTAAGCGTCACGTCAGTATAGCGTCGCGGTGTATTCACTGGGGCTCCACTGACTGCATACGGAAGCGACACGTAGAGAAGCCAGCGGGGTTGTTTACCGCCGAGCCGAGAGGCTGCATGTAGGCTGCATGAAATGTTAAAGCATTTTCCACCTAAGTTATTACATATATTTGAGTTATCTACAAGTTTACTGTACTGTTTGTCATCTACTCGCTTTCAAATGTCCGCCACGGACATTTACACATCGACGTGCCCGGTGGAGCCTGGCCGTTATATTCATTGTGCCGACAGTGGCTTGGAAAACCGCCCATAACGCCAGGGCCTGCCCTGCCTGCGAAGCGCAGCGCATTGAAATTCTCCAGCGAGCCAGAGCACTTCCGTTCACATCAGACACGCATTTCTCCACGCTGGTCAACAAGCGGTTCTGCTCCCAGCTGTTGTCTCCGTCACATTTGGGGCTGTTTTTCCATCATGGGTAACTACCCAGCTTGACACATTCGCTCGCGGCTCGTGCAGAAAATAGACCAGACGCCGAAATGATCGCTGCAGGGCCGGCGGCGGAGCGGTGTGGATGACACAATCGGTTAACATGGGCGCCAAAAGGAAACTGGCTTCACTTCTCGGTGCTTCGAGGCTATTTATGGCGCTTCCGCAGGCAGTGTGGCTCTTAACCGTGTCACACGGGGTAGAGGGAAGGCGGCTGGAGTTCCTCCAACATTTGCGGTTAGATTATCATATTTTTTTATTGACAAAAATATAGGCTGCTTCGGCTGATTTTTTTTATGCGCACAGCATGTGCCCCTAAATATTCTTTACAGTTCGCACACACCTATTTTTAGTCGCAAATGCGAGTGAAACGCTCATACTGTCGAGCCCTGAATACTGTTAAGAAAAAACTGTAGTTAATGGTGACACTTGGAAGAATACATGGGCAATGTTTTGATTTAACAGCATCTTTTAACAACATTTTCAACCACTCACTGTAGTGTGGAAAAAACAAAATAATAAAAGATATCACGTCAATATCCATGTTTGTTTTGTGTCACCCTGTGGATGTTTGCTCATGGAATGAGCAGAGTGTGCCCAAGGCTTCAACGTTCGTTGTCACAAACTGGTAGGGCTGCTTGATTATGGAAAAAATCATAATCACGATTATTTTGGTCAAAATTGAAATCACGATTATGCAAACAATTATGCAGCGCACGTGATGACTTATTTACACGACGGCATGTCATTTCAGTCTCCACATGGTTGCGTGTTTACAGTTCTCCTCTGCTCTCTGTATCGCGCACTGCGGAGTTCGGCCCTGATGTGCGCACGCACGCACACACACACACACACACACACACACACACACACACACACTCTGTGGCTTGCAGAGGAAGCAGTAACAGTAGGCAGGCCAGAGCAGTTTGAATAGGGCGCCCTGAAAGAATTTGCCAATTGGTTGCATAGAAAGGAATCATGTGATCTATCAGCTGACTCCCTTCCATCAATCAGCTGCTTCATCAGTTGATCGGGCTGTTTGAGATCAGCTGATGTAACTGGGATGTGAGCTGAGCTTGACATAGTGTCCTGCCTGAACTAACGCTATGCTCAATTTAAAACAACCAGAATTGATTAAAGTACGTTTAGGGGTGTCACACAGACTAAACTAAGTTTGTCTTTTAAAAATTTGAATGTATATTTAAGAAAATATCATTACAGGATAAAAACAGATTAAAAATGCTTTAAAATGGCTTGCACTGATCAAGTAGTATCATCCCTCACCTAATCAGAATTTAGCCAAATAAAATCAGGTACTCATTACGGCCATGTGCGTACACTTCTTCCCCATAAGTGCTGTTAGAGGCAGCCAAGTTTGTCCCACAATTTTAAGGAATGTCAACTGAGCACTTTCCAGCCATGCCCTACTTCAGATTCGTACATCATGCACCTCCACCCGGGAGCTGGGCGACGCGACTACAATCTTTTACCATTGGCTACTGAGCTGAGGGTTAGGTGTCTTATTCAAGGACAGTAAGTGTCAGAGATAGTACAGAGCAAAAGAGCAAAGAGGCATAATTTTAGCTGAGACAGGATACAATACTTAGAGCTGTCAAAGAATTTAGCCCAAAGGAATTCTTAACAGATACCTGTAAGGGAAGACAAAGCTGCTCTGTGCTTCTCCTCTAACACCTGACATTGTTATTACAGCCTCAGAAACATACGACCTGCTACTCTCCACTCTACTATAGGTTAGGCCTTATAACTGGAGATGGTTGGTCCTGGTCCCGACTTCTCACACGATCATTTATCACATCCCCTAATCGCCTCTGCAAGGCTGACTGACCATCCGAACGAAGCCTCCTTGCTGGAGGACCATCTTCGTCTTCCTCCCCTTCTCCCCGCTCTTCCTCGTCTCTATCCAGTGGTAGCTTATAGCTGTTGGACAGCAGCTGTCTGCGAGGAGACACTTTCCGCTGTCGTGGATATGGAGACAAGGGAGGAGTGTCTCCCTACAAAAGAGTGACACAGCATGTGTTATAAAACCCCATATTAAGAGATGTCGTGTTACAGTATCTGATACAGTATATTACAACATTTTACATATCCATTAATATTCTTTTGGATTTTTTTTTACCTTCTTCTTGTTCAGTTTGTCAAAATTCAGACAAAGATTTAAAATGGTACACTTACTCCAAACTGCAGGGCAAAGTGCTGCATTTTTGTCTCGTAGACCTTGATGTAAAAGTCAAAAAAATCGCCTCTCTCCTCCTGACGAGGTCCTGGATAATGTGTTGATGGTGTATTGGGGGTCAGGATACTGATGCTGTGGTCTCCATTATCTGTAATCAACAGTATAATAAATTAAAAGGAAAAATCAGGCCAAGATATTTTCTGACAGGATGCTGGTGATGCTCTCATGTTTGTGAATCCAGCTGGAAGTGTATTGCATGTAATGAATGTTTGTTGTTGCAATGACCGATACAACTTGTTAGCCCAAATGAAACCCTTCCTATGAGTAAAAGTGAAAGTATGTTATCTATTATTAAAAAAGGGGAAAGGAAAGATGCATTAGCAATAATTGGTCAGGAGCTTCCATCACCATCCTGCAAATACCCCAGGGCAGAGAGTGCAGAGCAAACCTATATCAAACACACTAACTTATATTACACCCATTCTTGAGGACTGGGACAAATTATGTCCTACCAAAAAGTTTAAAAAATACTTAAAATTAGAACTTATCAACACACTAATTCCATTTCTGGGGTGAACCATTATTTTGAAAGGATTTGCATAAATGAAATAAATATGATTTATAAAATGTTTTGATCTGCTTTCTTTTCTTATTTTATCCTCTAAATTTGCCCTGACCCAGAAAAAACTCAGGCAGCCAAAACACCTTTGTCCCAGAAAAGAACTTAACAACTTCACTTAATATGTAAAGAGCGTTCAAAATCTAAAACTAACAGTATGCACTGATAACCTCGGTGTAAAAATGTACTGCTATAATTGTCTGTTTTAAAATATATTTTTTGTGAAAATGTTGGCCCTTGAAAGATATGTCCCCGATTTTTGTCAACTCCATCAGATTCCTACAAAAACATAATTTAATCAGGCACAAAATTAGTTTACTATATCCCAAGGATTCCCGGGATAAACGTAGGACACTTAGCTGCTGTGGCATTTTGTGGCGCATGTAGCAATATAGTCTACCAATGTGATGGCTAAAGCCAGCTAGACAACAAGGTCATGCACGTGAGATCATAAAGGGTAAATATCTCCTAATGGAGTAGTGCACCATCTGCTGGTATTCCACAAAAATCAGTGTCTAGGTAAAATGGAGCTTGGTCAGGAATGCCCTGGGCACCGTTTCCCAGTTTTGATGTACCTTAGTCCTCTACGAAGGTCTCTAAGATATACCTTAGCTAAGGAACTTCTTTTCCTACGAGTACCGAAAACGGTCCTTTAGCAGGTGCTCATAAGGAGAGCTGCTAAGGTACATTATTAGTTGGAGCTATCCTTCACTACGGTGCTTTAAGTGTATTAATCAATGCTGCACGCATCGATTGATCTCAAATAAACTTGCACCAATTAATCAGCAGTGCTCAGAATTGGGCCGATGGGATATGCTGGTGCTACAGGTGCCTATTGTGTGACAGCATCAGATTTGCAGTCTGTACATTGACAGAACTGATGTTGGAAAACTATGTAAGACACAAACTGCCATTGAACTGCAATGATGGAAAAAGAGAGCCAAACACGTATGCTGTTACAAATGTCTCACTAACAAATGCATTATCGGTGAGCAGCAGTCTCCTTGTTTATAACGGGATGCGCATGTAGGTCATGTTTTAATGTGATATGCTTCAGGCGTATTAGGACAGGGATTGTTGCTGAAATGGTGCCAAAACGCTTGTCTGGACAGAAATTTAGTTTGAAAGCGCTGCTTTTAAAAATACCCGTGTATGTGTGGACTAGGCTTCAAATAGATGAGCAGATGTTCTGTAAAAGGCATAGCCTAATTTATGATATAATATTTGATGGAGGTAAAATTATTATGGCAATACTTTTTATGTTACGTCATTTATTTACCTTTATATGAGATTAGACTTGCACCGATTATAATTTTTTGGGCCGATCCTGATTTCCGATTTTCAGAGTGTTTGGACGGCCGATTCTGATTTTGCCACTTTACAGCACACAAGATAATGCAAATTTGATACTACCAGCTTTTCAATAATCATCTCAAACAAACAAACAAAAACAGTGACATGTTTCTTAACCTGTTAAGAAACATTTTCCTTTTTGCTCAAATATAATTTCAGGTACAGTATTAAAATAAATAAGTAGAAAAAGGCATACATAAATAAAAACATAGATAAATAAAATAATAATTCTTGGTGTATAGCATTTGTGGGTAATTTCTTGAATAGATAAAATTCACACAGGTGTTCAGTATGTGCCTGCCAGTAAGCACGTGGACATGCGGATCTTCAACACGCGGACACTCGTCAGTTTCAAGCGGCACAGTGCAGCAGTGAGAGCTCCGCAGTTAAGTTTAACTTGGACAATTAACATCTTTCTCCCGCTCTCTTTTGATGTGTGTGTGTGAATGATTAAGGTGAGAAGCCGCCCATGTTTCACTTACAGTAGAGTGAGTTTAATTTGTTTAGCATGTCAACTTTGTGTACTTTTCAGTTTGTCTTTGTTTGTTGTCATTGAAAATTAAAGTATCCTCTCCAACCTGATTCTCTGGCAGAGAAGAATTGGCAAATTTTTCATGGGCGCAACCCACATACTCAGCTCTGCTGCTTATCCCACAAAAGCATGTTCCTTACAAATGTGGCACCATTTAAAAGGGGAATAAACAGGCTTTCCAGTGTTATAAGATTTATTGCCAAGAAGCATTGTTACGACAAAAAAGTTATCTACCACACACAAATTTCCTTACTTTTTGTGCTCTGTGATCTCTGAACTTCCCCAGAAGGTGCAGAAAGGGCAGAATCTGTTGGAAGGGCACAGGTAGAGCGGCCTATTATTGAATTACAAACCAACTCTGTTAATTTAAAAGAAATTTTTTTTAGAAAACAAAATGCATACACCTCATGAAGCACTGCTGCCTGGGGCTACAAACACTTGGCCCATTCATCTTTGCTTCAGTTTCTGTGATTCAACCTTGTTCAAATGAGTTTCTTGTAGCATTGTAACATCTCATGCCAGACTTTAAATCAGAAATGATTTTGTCCTGCTTTACTTTGACACCCCATTCACATTCCATGAGCTCAATTTAACAATATTAGATCTCATTTAAATACAGAATTTATATTTTAGGCCAATAGTTTGTATATTATTTTCTATAGATGCTAAGCATGCTCTGCACCTCGAGAGGAAAGGGAAAAAGAAAAGGAAAATACACCAGAAAAACACAAAACTTGCAAAACACATATTGTCAGAATACTCAGCAGTAACAAAGAATAAGAGAAGGGGAACACATGCCTCCTCTTAACGTGACCTGACTGTGACAGGGTTAGGGCACTTAAAGAATAGACAATAAACGGTCATTGAGTCAGTTAGCCTTAGAAGCACATCTTTAAAACTCAACATGCTGTATCAGTTTTTAAGATTGATGGAGCGCAATAGTGCAGTAACAAGAAAACAGCAACTGTGACATCAGATGCAAGATTCTCTCTTTTACAGTTCTTACTAAATGGTTTCTTACTGTTTTTTCCAGTGAGAGGATTTTCTGCATCTCCTCCTGAAATCAGCACGTCTTTGCAGACCTGAGAACAGAAAATGTCTGTGTTCATTACTGTTGAACTAATATAGCTACACAACCTTCACATCTTGTATTTGAATATTTTCTTTAGCAAGTTTGTTTGCTGAGATCTAAAGGGACTTGAGCTTTAGTCTGTTCCTGTATTTAGTTCATTCTGAGTTCATCCAGTTGCTAAGAGAAGGCAGGGCTAATCTAAAAGAAAAAAACTTACACTTTTGCTGGCAAGTGGCTGAGACTTGTAGCAATTCATTATGCGTTTGGAGAGTGTATCCAGTGTGCTTATCTGTAAAAGCAATACCATGAATAAATAAATAAATAAAATAAATAAATAATAAATAAATAAACTGATTATGTACTTTGAGCAAGTGCTGTTACCGGACATGCCAAAAATGCAGGTGACATTAACTGCATCAGTACAACACACCACAATATTCTGGCAAATTCAAAGTGTAAAATAGTAAACAAGTATAACTTTGAAAAAGTTGTTCAGTTCTTTTTACCACCTCTTCCCTACACACATATACCAGCATGTTTATTAAATCAACAAATCACCATAAAAGGTGTTGAGATTCAAAAGCCCACCTTAGTTGTATGGAAAATGGCACATATGAGCAGTTGATCCAGGTGACGATCTACCATGAGCTCAGTGCAGTGGACCAGAGAGTACTCAAAACAGGTCCAGATCTTCAGACGCAGCTCATCACAATAAACCAGCGTTGAACACAGATCCTTCAGACGCTTTCCCATCAACTTGTAGATCTGAACCAAAAACAAGACAAGAGCACATAAAACACATTGTGCCCCATTGAAACCATCTATAGTGCACGGTCTTAAGTGCATGGTGCAGGTCCATTTAGTACTTGTCCAACCCGACTTTTGATGGTTAAACGACACATAATGTGCAAAATAAGGCACAAGGGGCAAGGGTTATTTATGGTCCCTAAGTTGATCATAGGTGTGTTTTGGGCATGTTACACCCGCAAACGTAATAACAGCCCACAAACGTAATAAACCACAAACGTAATACAAATCTGCAGCTTTGAATGTAATAATCCCGCAAATGTTATAAATTTCCCACAAACGTAATAGCAGCTGCCTACTACAAACGTAACAGACAATTTTCCGCAAATGTAATAACTATTACATTTGCAGGAAATTATTACATATGTGGGAAGGTGAAAATCTAAACTGTAATAACTTCCCACAAATGTAATATGAGACTGAATAATGATCTTTGTGGTTGTTGTTATTTGTTTGTTTGCTTATATACCTGCCAATAGTGATGCGTGTGTTGACAAGCAACCTGCAGGTCGGGTGGGGCGGGTCAGAAAGTGACAGAGCAGCGTTCTGAGTAAGTTAGAAATGACTTACAGAAACACACACATATATACACACACACACACACACACACACTCACACACACACTGGTCATTCCTTGTCAGTTCACAGAATTACTCTGTGGCAGGAAATATGTCGTTTAATTGGATTTATTTTATTTTCTTCTGCCTCTTGTTAATACGGATTTCTCTGCAGCATCTGGCCTACAGTACCTGTTCAGCACCTCGGACAGTGGCGCTGTGGGATGGGTTGGCTCTCATAGGGGGTCAGGTGCAGGTTGTAAGTTTTTAAAAACCATGGTTTACAATAACTTGATCCTCCTCCACTCAAAAATGTTTTCTTCTTGTTCCTACAAATGAATGTTTGAGCCTCACTGTGCAAAATGATATATGTGGAGAATTTGACACTCGAAGGCTGTTTTCACATTTATCTGCTGAAAATGCTCATATGATTTTAAGGGCTAGGGCTACAAACCTATGTTGGTGGCTTATGTAGCCTATGTTTGTACAATTTAATTAAAATATGTCTGCATATCAAAAGCCAAAAACTTGAATATGTAGGAACAAGAAGAAAACACATTTTTTGAATGGAGGAGGATTAAGTTATTGTAAACCATGGTTTTTAAAAACTTACAACCTGCACCTGACCCCCTATGAGAGCCAACCCATCCCGCAGCGCCACTGTCCGAGGTGCTGAACAGGTACTGTAGGCCAGATGCTGCAGAGAAATCCGTATTAACAAGAGGCAGAAGAAAATAAAATAAATCCAATTAAACGACGTATTTCCTGCCACAGAGTAATTCTGTGAACTGACAAGGAATGACCAGTGTGTGTGTGTGTGTGTGTGTGT